CTCTGATTAGCTGGCAAGGTGCTATCATTAGTTGCAAGGTTATATCATTGATCATGAAGCTTGTTTCAATCAGAAATCCTGCATGTTTGGTGAAGCTCTTGCGGTTAAATTGGTTAAGAAAGTAATTATAGAGCCATGAAGCAGTTATAGAGCTAGGTAGTTTCAAAAAGAATAAAGTTTTTTAAAAATAGGAACAATGTTCCTTTTAGAGGTTTTCCCTTTCAGTGTTAGCATTGCATTTTCATGGCTTTAATTTGCTATAACTTTGCATAGCAAAATTCTATTGGAAAGAACATGTGATTTTAAAGTTGAGTGTAAAGTTTCAGTTTGCAAAATGAAAATTTCTGAAGATAAATGATGGGTAATTCATAATGTGCAAGTTATTGATAATCTGGTGATGAGGAGAAATTATTTGTTGTGTATTTTACTCCAAAAATCAAATAAAGGAAAATATTTAAGTGTTTTATATAAAAGAAAATATTTAAGTGTTAAATATAAGTGGCAGAAGTGATTAGGATAAATCAGCTTTACTTAGTAGATGAAGAAACCAAAACCTCTGGTGGTCATTTATACTCTTTTGGTCTCCTCATTTCGTTAGTGATAAGAAGTCCTTAGAGACAGGGATGGCATGGGCAAATTTGGGTAATTGTGAGCTCTGTGCATTGAGACTCCCAGGACAGAGAGCAGTCAATAATCAGTTTGTGCCACAGCCATCTAGTGACTCTAGTGCAGAGACTTGCATTTATCTGCTCCAGGGTCTATTACTGTCTGAATCAGGAAGCTCCTATGTGTGAATTTATATTGACTTAAATCCCAACGATAGAGAGAACTTCATCAGGCAGCAGAGATGGGGGTGTCTTTGGATTTTCTCTCCTTGACAATGACCCAGTAGAGAAACAGTATCACCTAGTAAGTGCAGTGGGACCTCAATGATATGGGAAAGATTTTTCAAATTATTTTTGCCTTATCAGGAGGAGAAACATAACAGTTTGGGTAGCCAGTTGGAAGGATACAAATAAGAGAAGTATCAGTTATAAAGTAATGGTATTTATGTGTTGTAGTGGGGGATAGGAGAATTATTTCAATTCTGCTTTCTACACACCCATTTGAACTTCCATTAATGTCTCACACATAACAGCAAAAAATGTGTCCTGCAGTGTTTCCTTAGCAATGATGATGGTGATGAGGATGCAGACATGTCACAGTGAACTATAATATCATGAACTGCGTTTTGGAACTTCCCATATGTTACACACTGAGTAATGTTTTCTATGTGTCTTGTTTTATTTCATGTGCTTAGTCTTACTGTAGTTATAAGTGCCCACATTGCTATTGCTTGTAGAAAATGAAAGAGTCTGTCATTTTGATGGAACCTGCTTTGGGTTGTTAGGTTAATAAAAAAGACTCAGTTTATTTGGGCTGTTTGATTACAGACATGGGGTATCGTTGGGCAATGATTCTGTTAGGTTGTCCTCCTAACACAAAGAGACATATCACTTCTCTGTCACTTTAAGAGAGGCTCCTTGTGTTCTTAGCTTTTGAAGTTTCAAAAATCTCATATGGCAGAGAGCTGGATGACACCAACTACATCCTCCATAGATAGCGTTAGAGGACAGAAAGATCTCAGAGAGTCCACCCTTGATAAATCAATATAGATATCTGTAGGAAGTCTTTGAGTTTATTTCACACTGTCAAATGAGGAAATGCCAAGTCTTGGTTTCATTTCCATTTAAGAAATGAGAGACTTAATATGTACCTCTGAAACACCATTGGTTATGAAGTCTGAACCTGTGCTGAAATCCTTCTATGGACTGAGGAATAATGAAAAGTGTTAGTGCATTGGGTAGTATCTGCCAATTTACCTTTTAATCTTTTCACCTTGTTTTTCACATGGTAAGAGCAGGTTTTCAGTGTCCCTGAAAGAACATTACTGCTAGTTTTGAGTTCTAGTTGAAACAACTGCAGTAAGTATTTTACAGATAAGGGGTGTTCTACTTAGAGTTAATGTGCATCAAATTAGAGCAAAATAAAATTTATTCATTAGTGATAAGTATAGTCTCCATACCAATTAGATATCTTGTGAGTTGAAGTTACTCTTTTTCTACACCTGTAGGAAGACATTTTACTTTAGTGTAATCATAGGCATAAGTTTGGAAAGGAATCATGTACTTCATGTATTTCACTGTACATCTGATTTACCAGACCTGTGCCTCATTTGACCCAGAATAGGCATCAAAACTACATGCTTGCATTGAACATGAAAAAGACCCTTTCCTGAGTCACAATTCTTGTGCTCAACTAGCATGATGTGAAGTTGCTTAGTACATTCTCATCTGCATGTTCATCCCTTTCACAAATGACCCACAGATGGAGACACAGGATAAAATAGCTTCTATCTGTGTCTCTGTCGAGTGTATGACTATATAATTCATTTAATCACATCTATCTCAAAAGCACAACAGAGATGTTCATGGATGCAAAAGGCAGAAAGTGGGGAGAGCAGGTAAATGTTTGTGTCAGGCAGGGGTGCAGTTCAGACCTTCATATCATTTTTGCCCTTCCATATCTTTTGAATACAATTGACTATTTGTCAGTAAACCACCTACTTGAATAATTGTTTGACTCTGCTTTAAAACCAAAGTCTCACAATTACTAAGTTCTTTTATAGTTGCCACACATGTAGAGATTAATGTTATTTTCCTTATTTTCCTCAGAAGGTATGAGCACAGAGCCTAAGAGAGATTCACACACATTCAGCATATCCTGAAGGATAATGTCACAGGGCTAAAATGTTCATTTCCTCTGTGCTGTTCTTTGACAGAGGCTCCACAGTGGAGAAAAATGAAAATGTTATTCCACACATGGTGATGAAATTTCTTTGTGTGTTATCATAAAGAGATCAGTACTGGAAAGGCCCCAGGCATAATTTGAAGGTATTTCTAAAGAAGAAGAGGATGTGAGTGATAATGAGTAATGCAGGAGGGTTAAAATTTTAACTGTATGTGTTATCAGAAAAGTGTTCCCACAATGTATTATATCCCAATTTTCACATGAGTGACAGAGAGGCACAAGAATTTTGAAAAGATAGTCATAATAAAATTAGAAGGTAAATCCTCTTTATGTCTGTCGTCTGTCTGCCTGTCTGTCTCTGGAAATGCTGTACATTCATTAAAGGAGACTGAACTCATGTTGATGAAACTTAGTCTATTTGGGAGTAATAGGTGTTTCATTATACACTGCTCAGGTGAGTCTTGGGTCCCTTTTAGGTAAGTTTTTAAGAAAACTCCTTGTGGATTCATAAATCAACGTTGACCTGAAAACATTGACAGGAAAATATACACATAAAGTTCATTACAACAGATTCCTTTACGGACAAGAAAGCAAGAGGAATCAGTTACAGAGATATCAAAAGTTCAAGTTTCCTTGGTAGCTATTCAGATGTCTAAGTAATATTAATACTGACATCAATATCATTAAATATGCCTGTCAGCATCTATAGAGAAAACATTAATCAGGCATTTTCTAAATGCCAGAAAGTATTCTAAGGTGTTTCTGAACTCTTATTCAAGAAAGCAACTCAAACACTTGAAATGTAAATATTAAAGATTAAATTTATTGTCTTAAGCCTAGGGTATCTGGATATTTTAAAATATTCTCAGATAGGTAGCCTGACTGAACATCACAGGGCACTGGATTAAAATATCCCCAGATAAATATATTACTAAGTTAGAACCAACAATGGTGTAAGTTAAAAGATTTTCAAAATATTTTCTTACGTCAACCATAGCAGCAGGTAATTCTTGACCCCATTTTACAGATGGGGAAAGAACATTATTTACAGTTGTGTGTAAAATGTTTCATGTACATTTTTATTGTAGCTGTATTTTAGGGATGTTTATGTTATTTCAATTATTGTTTGATTAAAGTTTTTCCCAATTAAATCACAGTATGGCTTGACTAAAAATATATCTTTCCTGATTTCCTCCACATAGCTGAAATAAGGAAAATGCAACACTGACATATCACTGTCATACCAGTGGATATGAAAATCCATTGGATAGATCTAGGACGGTTGAGACTCAATCATGGTGTTGGGACTTTCTTTGTTTCCAAAGTTTTCATCCAGATATAAAAGGGTTTGTGATAAGAACAGCAACAATGTATATTATCAAACTGTGGTATTACACAGAATCAAAAAAGTGATGTCTTATATAACAGATATTTTAGTGATACTGCTAGATAAAATAAACATGCATAAAATTTAAGGCCCAAGTGTGCTTCCTCTCATTGATGATTTTTAGTTACTGACAGATGTAGTGTACAATACTGCCTAAATATGTCATGTGGTCATTACGTAGGAAGAATGTACATGTATGTAAACCTACTAAATAAAAATCTGAGTACAACAAAGACAAGGATAGAAGTTTCATATTAAATAATTTATACTCAAAGACTAAATGAGCTCTTACATCCTTAGGAGACAGAAACCCTAAAACCTGACAATGAGGCAATGTTACTGGGAGGTAACTGACTCAATCCAATGTATTCTGACAATGTAGAACTAACTTTAAATTATGGCAATGTAGTTTTAGATTGTATAACATTTATAGATGTTCTAAGTCAAAAGGAATTTTGTACCATTTTCTGGGAAAAATAAGAAATATTTGAATGCTTTTGATTTCTGTCCATAGTGTCATTTTTTTAAAGTTGCCTGTGTTTTATTGGAATCAAAGACTCCTGAACACCATATCCTTGGTCGGCTTACACTGTGTAGTACAATATCTGTTCTACAAGTGAACAAAATGTGATGGATAACTACAATAATGAGTCCTTGAGGGTTAAATTTATCACAGTATAGCAATGCTGCGAAAGGTTTCAGATCTCACATGGCAATATATTGTTTGTGAATACTTGAATTCATATTACATACATAGTTTTGTGTCCTACTTTTCTTTACATTTTTCCAATGAATTTTCTTTTTGCATAGATATTCAAGCACTATGGGAACACATAACCTAACAACTGTCTCAGAGTTCCATCTCATGAGCTTCTCAGAGGACCCAGACCTGCAGCCCATCCTCTTTGGACTTTTCCTGTCCATCTACCTGGTCACACTGCTCGGGAACCTGCTCCTCATCCTGGCCGTCAGCTCTGACCCCCACCTGCACACCCCCATGTACTTCTTCCTCTCCAACCTGTCCTTGGCTGATATCTGTTTAACCTCCTCCACAGTCCCTAAGATGATTGTAGACATCCTAACTCACAGCAGAGTCATCTCCTACATGGGCTGCCTGACACAGATGTCTCTGTTTATCCTTTTTGCATGTATGGACAACATGCTTCTGACTGTGATGGCCTATGACCGCTTTGTGGCCATCTGCCACCCCCTGCATTATGCAGCCATTATGAACCCTCAGCTCTGTGTCTTACTACTTTTTGTGTCAGTATTTATTAGCCTCTTAGGCTCTCAAGTGCACAATTTAATTGCCTTGCAACTCACGTGTTTCGAAGGTGTAGAAATTGCTAATTTCTTTTGTGACCCTTCTCAGCTCCTTAACCTTGCATGTTCTGATACTGTAATCAGAACCATAGTCACCTATATTGTTACTGCCATATTTGGCTTTTTCCCAATATTGGGGATTATTTCCTCATACTATAAAATTGTTTCCTCCCTTCTGAAAATCTCAAAATCTGGGGGAAGGTACAAAGCTTTTTCTACGTGTAGTTCTCACCTGTCACTTGTTTGCTTATTTTATGGAACAGGCCTTCTAACTTACCTCGGGTCAAGTGTGTCCTATTCTCCCAGTAAGGCTATGGTGGCCTCACTGATGTACTCTGTGGTCACTCCTATGCTGAATCCTTTCATCTACAGCCTAAGGAATAGGGACATTAGCAGCACCCTGAAGAGGCTCTGCAGCTGGTGGGTCTAATCCAAGCACACACTTGGCATCTATCTGAAAAGTAGTTTGGAAAATGTGGTAAAACTGAAGAACTAAAATATACCTGCAAATACTGTCTCCTTTGTTACATTGTTTCATAAGCTTGATGTTTTCAATTTTACATCCTGTTTCAGCCTAGAATTCCAAGAGGCAAAAGACGTCCAATGTGGTTTCTCTGTCTGGCCATATGAAGATAGGCATTGTGGGGTCTTACTTCAATGGAAATGAATTAAAAATGAAACTGGTTATCTTAAATTTCTAATGTTTCCTCCACTCAAGTTGAAATCCATGTCCAAATGTTAAAAAGGACTTGAATTAGCTCTTAACCTGAAGGGGATATTTTCTTTTATGGGATCCTATAATTAGGCTGCCCCCACTGCCTTACTATTTTATTTTAGGATTAAAAAGACACACACACACACACACACACACACACACACACACACACACACACACAAAGCAATAATGATAAACAACAAGAAACCAAATACAATAACAGTACAGGTTTATAAAGCAAGATTTTAGGATTTGACAGTGGTTGCCGTATTGTACAATGTTACCCTCAAGAGGATTGCTTAGATTTGCAGATATAGATAGATATGTAAAATTGATCTAAATATGAGTATTAACTGTTATTTTTCAATAATTAAAACAATTAATAGTATAGTCAGTTTAGTTATCATATATATATACATATATATATATATAATATATATAATTTGTATATATGGGAAAATGCTCAGAAGCATGATAGCTGGGTCAAAAGAAACCCTAATCCCAGATATTTTTTAGGAACTTCCACACTGATTTCCACAGTGGTTGCACCAATCTACACTCTCATCAAAAGTGGAGAAGGGTTCCTTTTTGCCACAGAACACCCAGCATTTGTTGTTGGCTGATTTCTTGACCATGGCCATTCTTTCAGGGGTGAGATGGAATCTCAGTGTTGTTTTAATTTGTATTTACTGAATGATCATTGATGTTGAACATTTCTTCATATATTTATTTTCCATTTGTATGTCTTTATCTGAGAAGTATGTATTCAACTCAGATGCCCATTTTGGGACTGAGTCCTTGTGATTTTTTTAAAATCTTTATAAGTTCTAGGTAGTCCTTTCTTTAAAGAACAGGTGGCTATTTTCCCAATTTGTGGGTTTTCTTTTCATTTTATTGGAGATTTACTTTGATATGCATAAACATTTTAATAAGCCAAAACCCCAGTCATTGATTCTGGGAAGTGTCTCCCATGCAGCTTGATTTTTGTTCATAAATTCACTACTCCTATGTCATCAAGATTTCTATGTACTTTGTCTTCCAGTGGATTGTTTCTGTTTTAATATTTAGATCTTTGATCCACTTTGACTTAGTTTAGTGCATGGTAATAGACATGGGCTATTAGTTTTTGTTTCCATCATTAGGAGAGCCAGTTGTTCCAGCATCACTTACTAAAGAGGCTTTCTTCCGAAGTACATGTTTATCCCCTTTTTCAAAGACAAGGTGGCTGAATGTGTTTGTTGTTATGATTGTATCTTCTAATCTCGTCCATTGATCTTCAGGTCTGTTTTTATTCCAGTAACATGCTGAATTTATCACACCAGCTTTGTAATATAATTTCAATAAAGGATCGTGATGCCTCCTGCCTTACATTTGTTGCCCAGGTTTGCCTTTCTTATTCTAAGTCTTTTCTGGTTGCAGATAAATTTTAGGGATGCTTTCTTGACATATGTGAGGTATGCAAACGGTATTTTGATTGAAATTGCATTGAATCTGTATAACAGTTTTTGCAGAGTGGCCAGTTTCACAAAGTTTGTTCTTCCTATTCCATGAACAAGGAATGTTTTTCCATTTTTTGAAGTCCCCTTCAATTTCCTCTTCAGTATAATGTAGTTTTCACTGTGTAGATTTTTTACTTCCTTTGTTCAGTTGATTCCTAAGTATTTCAAATTTTTGGATGCTACAATGAAGGGTGTGATTTTAATTATTTCCCTCTCAGTGAGTTTGTTGTTTGTCTAGAGGAATGTTATTGATTTTTTGAGTGTTGACCTTATATCCAGCCACATTACTGAATCTGGTTATTATGTCCAGGATATTTTAATGAAGTTTTTAGGGTCTTCTGTGTAGAGTATGATATCATCTTCAAATAATGATAATCTAAATTCTTCTTTTCCTGTCCTTAGTCCTTGTATTTCTCTCTCCTGTCTAATTGTTCTGGCTATTGTGTCCAGCACTGTATTGAACAGGAGTGGTGATAGTGGACAATCTTGTCTTGTCCCTGGTTTTAGAGGGAAAGCTTTCAGTTTTTGATCATTTAATATGTTGCTGGCTGTTGGAATGTCATAGATGGCTTTTGTCAGATTGAGGTAGAGACCATGTATTCTGATTTTCCACAGAGTTTTTATCATGAATGAGTATTGGACTTTATCAAAACGTTTTTTGCATCCATTGACATAATCATGTGATTCGTATCTTTGGCTCTGGTGATATGGTGTATTACATTTATTGATTTGCATATGCTGAACCATCCCTGTATTTCTAGGATGAATCCCACATGGTCATGGTGTATAATCTTCTTTACGACTTGCTGCATTCTGTTTGCATCTATTTTATTGAGAATTTTTGAATTTGTGTTCATTAAGGAGATTGACCTGTAGTTCTCTTTTTTGATGGGATCTTTCTCTGGGTTTGGTATTAGGGTAATATTTGTTTCCACGAATGAGTTAGGGATAATTGCTTACCTTTCAATTTCATTGAAGAGTTTGAGAAATATTGGCATTAAGCCTTCCTTGAATTTCTTATAGAATTCAGGTATGACTACATCAGGACCTGGAATTTTTTTGTTGGTAAGGTTTTAATTACACTTTCAATTGAAATGAAATTGAATTTGGGTTATTCAGCAGTTTTACATTTTCTTGATCCAGCTTTGGAAATTCATACATTTCTAGGAATCTGTCCATTACTTCTGTGTTACTTGAGAGTAAAGGTTTTCAAATTAGGTATTAACAATCTTCTGTATTTACATAGGATCTTTAGTGGTTTCATCCTTTTTATTCCTTATTGCATGAATTTGAGGTTTGCCTTTCCTTTTTAAAATGAGGTTGGCCAGGTGAATATTAATTTTGTTTATTCTTTTAAAGAACCAACTCTTTGATTCACTGATTCTTTGTATTTTTCCTTAGTTTCAATTGCATTAATTTCTGCTCTGCTTTTTATATTTTCATCCTTTCTTTTGCATTGGGCTTGATTTGTTCTTCTTTTTCTAGATATTTGAGGTATAGCATCAGGTTACTTATTTATGGTTATTCTGTTTTCCTGATGTGGGTATTCAGCACAATAAATTTCCCTCTGAGGACTGCTTTCATTTTACCTTATATGTTCCGGTAGTTCAGACTTGCATTTACATTTGCTTGCATAAATTAAACAATATCTACAAGCAAATGATAATGTAAATACTCCAATTAAATCATTATGTGAGATAAAAGAATAATAAACCCATGTTTTCTTCATGTGTTGAAGTAAGAGAAAATGGGAGAGATGTTCCTGGGAAGATGAATGGGCACAAGAAGTTTAAGACTGATACATGAACTTTGGGATGCATGGGATGCTTCCTTTTAAATTCCTCAACCATAAATAAGAGGGTTTATGGTGACAAAAAATAATAAAGCAGTATTAGCAGGGTACTAAAAAAATGCAAGAAAGCCAAATGGATTGTACCCTTTGTTTTGCTCCACCAAAGGAAAAAAGGAGAGAAGTGCTATCCACAGGAGACATTTTATTGGGATGTAAGGAGTTAACGAAAATAAAATAATATGAAATCCCCAAAGTGTTTGTAAATATTTCCTTACTTTCTAGCCATTGATGGGTGTACTATACACTGACGCCATATTGTAGCTAGCTGTCTCTTTTGATTATGTGCTATTCCTGAATCCATATTTATCAAAATCTAATGTCAAAATGAACATAATATTATATGTCAATATTCTCATGATTCTCAAAGCCTGATGCAGGAAGACTGTAAATGCATTCCCAGCCTGAGAAACTTAACTTTGTCACAAAAGGAAAAACATAAGGAAGAAAAGACCTGGTGATGTAGCTTGTGGTCCTCAGAAACCCTGCTCACCAACTCTGACTCCCACTTTCACGCCCTGCATACTTCTTTCTCTTACAACGTGACCTTGACTGACTTACTTCATCTCTACTACAGTGCCAAAGTTGATTGTGAACATCCAAACTCGGAGCAGTTATACCTTAGGTTGCATACTGCCTCACATAGAAGCACCTTTTTCTCATTTGTAATGCATGCATGATACACTTTGAATGTGACAGCCTGTTACTGATTTGATATCATTGTCACGTCCTCCTTTAAACACTTATTGTGAACCCTTAACTGTATCTTTTTAGGCTTTATCCTTTTTTCCAGGCTTATGAACTCCCAGATGCACAATTTTATAGTTTATCTACTTCACTGATGTAGCAATTTTTATTTTCTTATATTTGAGAATTTATTGTCAAATTCTTAATTTTTCCTGTTCTTTGTTTTCACCAATAATTTAATCACATATGTCCTGGGTCATAATTTTCATTTATTCTTTTTCCTTTTTTAATAATCTAAGATATTGCATTCTCTTATGTAATATTCTTTCCTCCATTCTAAGAATCCAATCATCAGGTGGGAAGTATAAGCCTTTTGGTATGGTTCTCATTTGTGACCTGTGTATTTTATAGGACAATTGCTTGCCCGAGCTTTGATCAGCCATATCACATTCTCCCATAAAGGACATGGTAATATAGCTGATGTACATTATGGCCAGCTGTGTGCTGAATCCTTTCATCTGCACATTAAGAAACAGAGACATTCACAAGTTTCCTTGAATGTATAAACCCATTCACTAAGGTGAAGGTAAACATTATATACTGCAAATACATACTAGTAACAAATAAGTTAAAATAGACATGTGGAAAATAGTGCCCTGCTAAGACACAGAAGCAGTCTA